ATTTCAACCATCTTATTTCGCACGTGATCGATGCCATAGCTCGATATTCTGACTCTGTTGAGGATCTTGACACAGTCGATTGTTTCTTAGTTTTCCACGAAATAATTGCTCCTCCGAGAAAGATGCAATAACCAGTAACAGATCGTCTTGTGATTGAACATCGAGCCCAATCCGCGTCACAAAATCCTTTAAGTAGCAAATTCCCTTTTGCGGGGAAGTACAATCCCTGACCAGGTGCACCTTTAAGATACCTCAAAAGGTGATGAACAACATCCAAATGTGATTTTCTTGGCTCTTGCATGAACTGACTTAGAATGTGAACCGAATAAGTTATTTCTGGCCTCGTAATAGTGAGATAGATAAGTCGACCGACCAACCTCCTGTAGAGGGATGCTTTTTTCAATGGTTCACCCATTGTTGGTAAAAGCTTAAGATTTTCTTCCATAAGTGTCGACAATGGTTTTGCCCCAAGCAATCCTGCTTCATCCAAAATATCAAGTGTGTATTTTCGTTGTGATATTGAAATGCCACTAGTAGAACGAGCAACTTCAATGCCAAGAAAGTATCGAAGTGTATGATCTTAAGAGCGATAACTGCACCATCATCGTTGCCGGTTATGATCATGTCATCTACGTAAATGAGTACTGCTGTGAAAGAATTCCCAGAGGTCTTGGTGAAAAGAGAATAATCTGTCTTTGATTGGTGAAAACCATCTTGTTGAATAGCGCTAGAGAACTTTTGAAACCAACTGCGAGAGGCTTGTTTAATTCCGTATAAAGACTTATTGAGTCGACACACAAGAGAATCCTCCCCCTGTCGACGGAGACCCGGTGGCATTTTCATATATACCTCTTCAATCAAATCCCCATTTGGTGGAGTGACCAATTTCGGATAGCCGCAACTGCAAGTATACAACGTACTGTAGTTAACTTGGCCACGGGAGCAAACGTTTCTTTATAATCTATTCCTTCTCGTTGAGTGAAGCCTTTGGCGACCAACCGAGCTTTGTATCTTTCAAATGTGCCATCAGAGTTATATTTAATCTTGTATACCCATTTGCATCTGATTGGGCGATCTCCAAGTGGGAGAGCTGTAATTGTCCAAGTCTGATTTTGTTCAAGTGCTTGCAATTCTACAGCCATGGCTTCTTGCCATTTTGGATCCAACGCTGCCTGTTCATAGGTCATAGGTTCCACCAAAGTAGTGACAGCACAAATAAAATTTCGATATTTAGGAAAACAATTTGTGTAAGAAATGTACCGGTGCAAAGGATGACGCGTGCCAATCGAGGAAGAAGATTGACCGGGAGAAACCTTGGTCATGTGGTAAAGATAATGAAAGTCTCGGAGTTTGACACTTGGTTGTTTGATTCGATTAGAACGACGGACAATGGTATTTGGGTTTGGTTCATCAGCATCATGGTTAGTGACGGGCACAAGTGGTGGAGGTGAAGGGCCAGTTGCAAAGTTTTGATTTGGTGTGTCTGTGGTTATCAAGTCATCAGAAGTGTGTGCTAAAGGAAGTACAACCTCATCTTCTTGTACTTCTTGTGGACTATTATGAAATGGAAAAATGTGTTCGTGAAACACCACATCTCGGGATATAAAGAATTTATTAGTTGTAAGATCATAAACCCGATAACTTTTGTGACCTAGAGGATAACCGATAAATACGCATTGAAGAGCTCTTTGATCAAATTTATGTGAAGGTAGGAGATTAGTCGCATAACAAAGGAACCCAAAAATGCGAAGATGGTTGTATATAGGTAACTTTTTGTAGAGAACTTGATATGGAGATTTATTAAAAAGAATAGGCGTTGGTAAACGATTGATTAGGTAACATGCTGTTTGAACGCTTTCCCCCAAAAAATTTAATGGTAAGTTTGCTTGAAAACGAAGAGCCCTTCCTACGTTTAAAAGATGTCGATGCTTTCTTTCAACTACCCCATTTTGTTGAGGCGTTGAAGTGCATGAACAATGATAATTGATCCCTTTCGCATCAAAATAATCTTTCATGGAAAGTATTTTAGTACCATTATCTGTTTGAATTGTCTTAATTCGACCATCAAACTGCGTCTCCACCCAAGAAATAAATGATTTTAATATCCCTTGTGTTTCGGATTTAAAGCTCATGAGGTGTATGTTAGGATAGTAGACTAAAAGTCTCGTTTCTAGCTACATTTTTTATTAATAAAATAGTTTATTATCATTTTATGAGAATCTGCACTAGGGTATTCAATGCATTTAATTGATTGTTTGTCAAGTAATTAAAAGCATAAGTCTAATATTCTAATAGTATTCGAGATGGTGTGCTACGGCGCACGGAAAGATCATTTCGAAAGTTCGTTTAGAATATAAAGATAAACGTTCACAATCTAGATGGAAATGGACTAACCATTGGTAAAAGATTGTAGCACAATATTTAAGTGATTGGTCTTGATCACAGTAAACAACGACTAGTTTTTGTAGTTATTGTTTTGACTTATTGTGCTAGCACACCCGGCATGTGTTGAACCGGACCAAGTGAAATAATTGTTTCATCACTGTTCAAAATGAAACTGTATTACTTCTAGTCGACAGTAAATTACTTACTCTCTTAATCCCTAAATAATTAACGTACATATTTAATTGATGATCTCTACTTTGATGTCACAATGGGAGAGATTCCTATATTGAGTCAAATGGACCCTGGTGCGTTGGGTAGAGACATTAAGAATTAATAGGTGGAAATTAATTATCGAAAGGAATCCACATCTCTGAAATATGAGATTGATATTAACCCTTGAGTAGCTTATAAGATTTGTTTATGCCAAGTCCTGGCCTGGTGGATTTCGTATCCGGCATACTCAAATAAGTTAAGCGGGCAAGACTCATGAAAAGAAACCATTTAATTTATTTAGCAGTGAATAAATTATTTGGTGGTTATAAGATATCTTAATGTGGGGAGAATCTAAGTAATGATCGACCGGAGCTCGAATGTAATATTTGAGAATATAAACAGGAGTTCAATAATTATTTGGTAGTGGAAAATAAATAATTAGTTAATGATTAATTAAATTAATTCTTTTAAGAGTTTGGATTTAATTAATTATTAGTTGCCCGATTTATATTTTCTCCTTTAGTCCCTATTGTAGCCCAATGGATTTTCTAATTAATCGAGAAAATAAAGTTCAACTAATATTATATATTGGAATTAATATAGCCGAAAATTAAGTCCCCATTGAACTGCAATTTTTGACTATATATAGTTATATAAGGAGTGGGATTTGTTCCCATGTAATCCTCTCTATGTGTGACTCTAATTCCTTGTGCTATATATAATTGAGATTAGGTTGATGAGAAATAATAACTCCTAGACACCTATTTCACGTTGGAGAGAAATATTTTTTCTCTTCTTCTTTTCTCTCTAAATTCTCGATTATAGGTTTAGATTTCTTCAAGTACAAGCACCCTTGTAGAAGAATTATTAATCCGGGATATACAATAGAAGATTATAGGTTTTTAGAGCAAACTATAAATCCCGAATTTTCTGAGCTGTCCTGCGAAGAAATTCACCATAAATCAACCGTTAGTCGGATAGGCTCGAAATTTATACAGTAGATTCCTAACCCTTAGATCTACAATCTGTTTGAAGGGTTTCTCGATCGGATCAACGATCGATGAGATATCGGTGAAGGAAGAGGACTGAAAATATCTGGACAACAGCTTTTACGAAGGTTGAAGGCTTGACGTGGATCCTCGTCCGTGCACCGAAGATATATTCGACGAATCTGCTCGCGAAAACTGTAAGTTGCTAGATTAGATTTATTCCGCTTTAAACGAATCTAATCAAAGCATGTTAATAAAATTAAAACCGGCTAATCTAGAACCTCTTGCGAATTTTCATTGAATCCTGGGCTTAACATCCCAACAGTGTATCCTAGTATATCGAGTAAAATCATCAACAATTGTAAAAAAATGACCAGCTCCAGAAGTGGATTTTAAACGATGTGGTCCCCAAATATCACAATGTATTATTTCAAAAGGTGCATGGGAAGAAATAGAACTAGACGGAAAAGGTAATCGAGTTTGTTTAGCTAGAGGACAAATTTCACAAACATGACTCGAATCAAAATAAATAGCAGGATTACTTTTATTAAGGACTTGAAGCGGACGGGAAGAAGGGTTCCCCAGACGTTGGTGCCAAAGATTTGACTGTTTGCGGATGGTGAAAGCGAGGGCTGGGTTTTGGGTTTGTGTCAAGTAGTAAAGACCATCATGTTGCTTGCCCAGGCCA